TGATATGCAATTTAGTACAGTTCATACAGTCTAACAAAAACATAGTCATGGGAATTCATGCTCAGCTGAAAGAGAAAAAGCTAAAAAAGATGAAAACAGTTCTGGTTTAACACATACATTTTTTTGGTCCAGCAGAGTCATTGTTATATTCTTTACGATTAGATGGAGAATGTGGAATGGAATTAAAGAATTCAAGGAGAATTAACGTAGGAAAGCACTATCATGCATGTTATAGGACTCCTCACTGTTTGGAGAGCAGCTAGCAGACAGACCTTGCCCAGTCATCTGAAACAAACTCCTCCAAAAGGAGTTGCAGTGTTTAGCAATAAGATATTCCAAACACAGCTTTACCCCAAGTTCCTTTTTCCTAGCCACGGTCTGGAGGAGCCTGAGGAGATGATGTTGTTCAGCTTGACCCAGCTGAGCCATCAGTGCCACTAGCTCCCTCAGATGGAGGTTTATCGGCTGCGGTTGCTTCTCGTACAGAGCAGGCAGGACACGCAGCAGCATCGAGTTCCCTGAGAACAGAACAAATGAGAGGCCAGTGACTTGATAGCAAGTCAATTCCCTACACCTGAAGAGCTCCCTGGAAAACTAGCACACACCTGCAGATACCAGTTTTAAAAGAACCATCAGTACAAAACCAGGAACACACAGAACTCACAGTAGAAAAACATACACTGGGCCAAGAAGCTCAATAAATAACCAAAAATGAATGAATCATTGCATGTGTAACAACATGTGTTAAAAAAAAAAGAAGAAAAGAAAATAAAATCCTATAAATTAGAATTTCCATTCTCCAGTATGATATGATGAGAAGGCTGCTTGAGGAGCTTTCAGATTTGGATGATATTCTGTTGAGTTCTAGACTAAACTAAGTGCAATTTAAATTAACAAAAAAAAAAAAGAGAAAAAAGAATGTAGAAAACACATAAAAGCCATATTTCTCCTTTGTTGAGATCTGGGCTTTCAAATTAAATAAGCAGCATGTGGAAAGAATAGTCAGCTATTAAGAGAACTAAATAGGCATGACAGTAAATTTGAACGTAAATAGTTAAGGGTGCCATTTCCAGGAACAGAAAGGAGCCAGAGAGAGTCAACTGCAGACAAAGATATGCAAAACCCTCTGTCACACATTTTCTTAAGATGTCTGTGCATAACTCAAATTGAAGCCCAGGCTCATACCGAAATATATAACTTCACATTGCTGTACATGCCTGCCTCCATATATTTAAGTTTCACTTGAGCAACATATGGAAAACATCTGCCTGTTGCAATGCAGTATGGCTCCTTTTCTGTGAACTTTCGAAAGTCCTTAAGGTCTCTTTGGATTTGGTTTCCAATAGGAATTAGCTCTCTGGCCTGATGCTTTTTCTCCCATTTAAATCTTACAATTTTGGAAGATCCTGCTGCTTTTTCTCCCATTTAAATTTTATGATTTTGGAAGATAAGCAGGTCACTTCATGGATGGTAGAAAAAAAGATATAGGGGCTCAGACTGGACTACATTGTGCTGTTACCAGATACAGAAAATGAACCCCAAGACACTGTTAGGTATTGCAATATCACCCATCACCTCTGAGGCAAGTAATTAACTTATAATTCATTACAGGTTCAGACAACTTTTAGTCAAAGAGCTTGTAATGATCCCTAAGGGGTCCTTAAGCTTCGGAGGAGTGCCTCCACACTATTCAGGCAGCCACATTTCTGCATTCTATCCTGAAGCATTTTTGCTGCTTGAAGAATCATTGGCTTCTCTTTGAAGGCAACTCTGAGCCTTCCACACAGCTGATTCAGCACTAAAGGCAAGGTTCAGATCCCACCTACAGTCCCATGGACATGGTGAATTTCTGTCTTATTCTGTTCTACAAATAAAGCACAAAAGCCAGTTGCAAAGGAAAGAGATTTGCTGATGAATTACCTAAACAGATTAGCAAACTGTTCAGTTCTGGCCATTTTCTAGCCACATTCTTTGTGTAAATCTCTTCCTGGTGTTACAAGTCAATCTGTATAAAAAAGTGTTACCGTTTTCACAGGTGTCACTACCGTACCATGGGAATCCTGTAAAGCACCAATTCATCCAACATTAGAACTACAACGATGAGAGGATGTATTTACTTGAACTTTTCTAGACTCATACCTGAGTTTGAAATTGAAAGCTTATGTAACTGAATACACTAAAAATTTTCTTCTCCAGCTAATTTAGTGTGTACAGAAATAAGTCCTTCCTTTGCACTTGCACACGTTTAGTTTCCACTGGAAATTGTCTGCCCATCTGGAACACACTCCTCAATCTCCAGTGGAATTTTAGCAATAGTAACAATTGCAAAAGATGAAATTCCCATGTTCCTGGACAGGCAAAATTCATCTGAGCTGAACAAAGTGTAGAGGAAAAGAATTCAGCCGAGAGTAACAAACCCTAGCAGCTTTAAACAAGAAAAGACTCTCTAACAAGACACTAACCTGAGACATGCTGTTGCCTAAACTGGGATGTCACAGATCAGAAGGTATCTGGAAAGTGAGACTGATTATTCAATCTGAGAAAACAAGCATTTGAAGTCTTGGATGTATTAGAGGACTGATGCAATTTTACATGACACAACATGACAGATAGCATCCATGAAACTTCTCTGAACAAAAATACTCCACACAAACGCAAATTGGGGCAGCAAACATTCCTGGGTTTATATTCACTAACCAAGAGAAATGAACAGCAAAGGCAATTTAGAAGCAACTCCATCACTTTGGAGTGACATTTAAGTGACCTCACTGACATGGAATTGCCTTTAATTGAATAACCTGAATTGAATTTAAATTTAAATGCACGAACCTGTAAACAGGCAGATACCACAGTTTGTATCTGTTCTTCATATAACTTAAGAAAGGTCAGGAAGCACAACCCAATTCACTATTTTCTTGTATTTTCATGTTTCAAGTTGGCTCCCAGTACCTCTTGCCATCTGTTTGTCACACCTTTTCAGTTTCTAAGGGGTTTACGCACATGCAGCTCACCAACCTTTTGATCTCAGAGCTTGTGCAGTCAGAAACAATATTGAGCCTGTTCCCAAGTAATTCACTTTTTTCCAATCTTGCTTCATCTGTCTAAACTGAGAGCTTGAAAAGTATGCTTGTTGTCTGAGAATGGAAAAACATTATAGTCAACTCCTTAATTACCTCCTTTCCCTTTTCCTTCCTCACCCCCAGTACTTTCAAGATTAGATTTTCTCAGACTTTCCAAGCAGACCACACACTGGGAATTATGCAATTCAGGCAGAAACTAATGTACAGTTGGGGACATTTGATGGCTGCAAGTCAGGCAGGGAGGAAGCACATATGGCAGAAGCAAGCACAACTGCATGCTGCAATGGTGCCAGTGCCCCCCGGCTGCCCCAGGACCGTGCTCTGGGGGTGCTTTGGCCATACTCCCTCTGCACATATGAATTGCAAATGTTGCCTTCAGCTCTGCCTTTGCTCTGCCCAGCCCAGCAGCACAGAGTGCTTGTAAAAACCACTCTGCAAACAGATAGCATGGGCAGGAGGAGCTATACAGTGGTGGTTTGATATTCACTCCAAATTGAGTATTCAAAGATAAAAGCCCAAGCACTAAGACTATTTTTTTCCCCAGAAGGACTCAAGTTGGGCACATACATCCTCAAAAACATTCACCTCTGCTTTATCAAACACTTGAGGTTTGTAACATATTGTGTTGACATTCTTATTTATTATTTGTGTTCGCAGGAGACCAGCTGGAGGCACCACAATGGCAGAAATTCCATACACACATAGGGCAAAACTGCGATGGTGTGGCATGCAGGAATAGCATGGTACCGTGGCTCACCGTCCAATGTGTGGGTAGCTCAGGTTTGCAGAAGCAAAGCTGTGTGCTAGGAGGCATCTGGTACAACATTATCAGACTCTCAGCAGCCTTCTGCAGCCACCATAGCAGTGTGCTGCTCCAGGCTGTATGGAGCAAGCCTGGAGGGGCTGGGGAGCAGGCAGCTCTGGCCCTACCTGCCTTCTCAGCAAAAGGTGACACCTGCAAAGCGCCTCTTGGCCCCACTGCAGGACGGGCAATGATTGAGGCCACACACGCCATCTCTGCTGCTTCATGCAGCCATACCACCCGCTTGTGGCCTGGATATCACAGGCAGAATGAGCAAGAAAAGAAGCACATGGCCCTCTTCACACATTGTGTGTACAGCGATAAAGGGCAAGCCCTGAGACTCAAATGGAAAGGCAACACAGACTGCAAGTTGGATGGAATTGTGTGGGATTATTTACTTTTTTTTGCTATTCTCTATTTCATAGCCCATATATAATTTGTACAATGTTACACCTAATCTTACCTAAGCAATGCATCTCTGAAATAATTAATGGCCCATGGAAATAAAAAGATTTCCAGAATTTACAACAAATTAACACCAGTACCAATAATGCTTAGCACTAGACTAATGTCTAATTCAGGAGTGCCTTGGTTTCAGGGGTTTTTGTCAGAGTTAACAGAAACAACTCTAATCATGCAGCTGCTAATCTACACATACCCCAAACAAATACTAGTAGTGATGTATCATCCACATAGTTAGGATGTTGTTATTGGTAATTAGGACTAGAAAAGCAAAGTGCTAACAAGCTGTCTTTACGAGTTCTCCTTCACTTCTTAAAGAGTAAACTGTTAGTACGTAATAGAAGTTTCTATACATAACTATCAAAAAAAAAAAAGCTACAATATTTAGTTAAACCATACACGTGTATCCAAAACAACACCAGGTATGTTTATTTTTTTACAGATTTCCTCCAGAGTGCTGGTGCATACCAACTACAAAACGAGTTTGAGGAGAACACTTTCCTTTTCACAAATAGCACAGAAGAACATAACCAATGCAGCCAGTGCTTGTAGGCAGCAAACTCTGAGTGATTCCACCCCCCACACTCACCCTCGCATTGCTGAACATTACAGCAATCTGTTCTCGGAGGGGAAGAGGTAGTTAACAAGAGCAGCATTCCCCGTTTCTTCCCCTCTGCGAGCCAGTACATCTCCCCCCAGTGCAAACCTGAAAGGCTGGAATTGAGCAAGCTGCACGCCCCCTTTTCCTCTCAGCCAAAATCAACAGTGAGAAGTGCTCTTATTACAACACTGGCACTAGCACTGCTCATTCATTCAAGCCGAGGCGCTCGGAGCGTTTGCTAGGGGCTCACTGCATCTCACTCGCAGTCTTGTCTCTGCTGAAGTCTGACTTGGACTCAAGCTCCATACAGCACAGCTATTTTCAGGAAGCAGCTAGAGAATGCTGCCCCAAGAAATACTTCCTCTGCTTACCCTGTTCTGTGTTTTCAGGGCTTCTGTTTCTGTTCTGGATGAAGATGATGATTATGATCTCATGTATGTGAACTTGGATAATGAAATTGAAGGTCCAGTTCTTGGTACTGAGGAAAGTAAGTAGATCTAAACTAAATTTGTGTTAAGTGCAGAATTGCATTATTTGTTACCTAGCTCTTGTAGCAGTTATTGTTACAAACATTTTTTCCCCAAAGGAAGAAGCATCTGCTTGTACCAGTAGATTGGTATGGACAGCAAATGCTAAAGCACTTGGATGGTGTGTCTTGGAATTTTCTTTATATTCTTTATTTTTTAGGCTGCCTGAAAAAGACTGCCGATGATACTTAGTTTTAGAATTGCTATAATATATGCTCCTTTACTTTTCTGTTTTGATGTAGAGGGAAATACATTGACAGTCTGGAGCACATAAGCCTTGCATGGAGCCAGATTTTGTCAAATACTCCTGTTTAAAAATGTAAGTACAACATCTGTATCTCCCATTCCAGCTGTTTCATGTGACTGCCAGCGAGAGCACACCAAATGGGACAAGCTCTTCATCATGCTTGAGAACTCGCAGATGAAAGAGAATATGATGCTGCAGGCGATGGATGAGATCCTGAAGGTGGACCTGCAGACCCTGAAAACAGAGCTAAGCCAGCTCACCACCAACCTCGCGGGTACCTTGGACACAACAGTTGAGAAAGTCACCTCCCACATTGTGTCACAGGTAGAGCAGGCGCTTGTGAGTAACAGTGATCCAGCTGGAGAAGCCAAGAGGCTTCATGAGTCTGAGCAAGGAAAGCTTCTCGAGCACATTCTGCTGCTCAGCCACAATGTGTCCAGCAGGCTCGGCCAGCTGGAGAGCTCTTGGCTGAGGAGGTGTGAGCTGGAGGCTCAAGAAACAGCTTTTCATCAGGATAAATTCAGTCCTACCAGAGGAGACGATCCCATTTTGAACTCCCTGTGGAAAGAGCTACAGCAAACCAGGACTGAACTGAAAGCATCACAGAAATGGGTAGCTCAGCACTTACTGCCAGGAGGTAAGTCCACATGTGCTATGCTTTACCAGAGAGCTCTCTTTCGTGGCCCTGTTGGAACGTATATCCTATAAACACCCTTCTTACACATCTTCCTCTGCTTTTGATTCCAAAGCGATCTTACGAACAGCACAGCAGCTTTGGGCAGTCTGCACACATATGGAGAAAACCTATTATCTGTTCTTTAAAAAGAGGTGCTGAGATTTTCAAATGTGGGATCAAAGAAGGGTTTAATCAAGGAAGGCTCCCACCTCTCGCAGGCTGTTCCAGACCAAAATGGTTTCCAGAGAGCAAGAAATATATTTTAAACATACAAATTATATTCTTTCACCTTTTACCTTCCAAGCTGGTAACTCCTTCACATATGCAGTAGTAATTGAGCTCTCCTGTTCTCTTCATGCATGTACCCACTCCTTCTTCTTCCTAAACTAAACATTATCTCCTCACCAACTCCAAATGCCCAAGAGCAGAGTGAGATCTGAAGACACACTGCTGATGTCAACCAGCTAAGCACACTTCCCGCAGCAGGGAGGGCACATTTGCTGCATGCAACTGTCAGGACAGAACATTTCCTCAAGCATGGAAAAATTAGTAACACTGTGGTATTGTTTGGTTTTTGTTTCTTCTTCCAAAATGCTTGCATTAGTCAGCAGGCAAGGCGGCCATAGAAAGATGAGCTCATATCTGAAATTTCATGTTGTTTTTTCTGTGCAGTGTAACAGTACACCCAAAAAGCAGCTACAGCAACTTGGGTATGGCAGAGCAGTCCCCATCTATTCAAAATGTGAGTGTAAAATTGCTACCTGACTCTACCTGTCAGACAGCTCTCACTCTGACAAATTTTAACATGTCCTTAATGACTGTATTTTCCACAAATGTACGTTACTGCAGCTTAAAAACCCCACAGAAATTCACACTCGCAGGATCCCACATTGCATATGCAAATAGGAAGTTGGTGGGGTTACACTAACCTCATCACCAACCCTTAGCAGCACCACCAGCGTGAGCTTCTACATGGATGAGCAAGGAGGATGCTTCTTGTAACTGCTAAAGCAAAGGCAACAACTTACACAAGCCACTTACAATATATACTCAACATAACATTAGTTTACGTCAATGTGTTTAACAATCTAATATGAATCTGTACATTCATGTAGGTCATGAAATCAGCTTTATAAGTAAATTACTTTTATTGCTTTATTTGTCATAAGGCTTTAGTAATGTTTGCATTACAGCAATACTGGGGGGTAGATCTTAGACCGTATTCCTTTCCTCCCCAAACACATCTTGCCTTCCAGAAAGCATGATCTCATTATCTCTCTCCTGTAACACAGCCAGCCTTGCAAACAGTTACTCAGTGCTAGGTGAGAGTAACAAATTTGATCAGCATTAACAGTCTCAGTCTCATCAGTGGAAATCCAGATTATTTTCATTGGTTCCCACATGGTTTTATATAAAATGTTCATAGTTTTTAATTTAAAGGATATATTTTAAATACTTCCAGAGCGTCTCTCTGGAATTTTTTTTTCAAGGGAATTTTTAGCAACTGACTTTAATTTCTCACATCTTGAATTACTGCCAGCCACACTCTTGAGAGATTTTCTAATCACACTTTTTGTTCTTCAGTGAGGCTGGTTTTAATTTTACTTAGGCCTTGATAATAAAGCCTGAAAGCTTGTTAATTAAAAGCTTTTTCACAGTGGTGTTCTTAAGTGGCATTTTAAGGAGTATCCAACAGTTGCTCACTGACCATGCCCCTCCTCAAAAAAACTAATGAAGAAACATAAAATCTGCTCAAAATTTAAAGGAAACAGTCTGCAAAATAACACAGCAGCACAATCCTGAAGGACACAAAGAGTCCTTCATTCACTGAAGCAGAAATTTCCACACACATTTTAGACATTTTAGATCTTCTAGCTTGTTTAAATAAGAAACAGACCAGCCTAATTGTAGCAGGGGGCTGCTTTCAACCCCCACCCCATCACCTAGACTGTATATGCATAGACTATACAGCTAGGGAATAGTACACAGAATACCAAAAATGGCTTGGGTTTAGTAACCATCCATTACTTTTCCGTTTAATTAATTTTTCTTAGTGCTTTTAACTAATTTCTATTATCCACATGTTGATTAGTTGGAGCTGAGAGCTGAACTATTTTAAGAATATCAGTCATTTCCTACATTTCCTGTGCTTAACCAGTGCATACAAAAATCACCAACCAACAGCCCTAAAGGCAGACCCAGGAATGGGAGTCATTATAATAAGCACACATCTCAGCATGCTTCTGCTAGATGTTCCCTGTGCCTGCTCTTCAGTAGCCTGTGTCCTCTTCCCCTCTGCTGCCCAGTTAACCATGGGACATCCACAGGACACAGCTGTGGTTGCTGCTCAAGCCACAACTACCCAGTGCTCCGTTTCTCAAATCTGACCCTGCTTCTCCAGCTGCATCAGCAGTTTCACGCTGCTGTCCCAGGAATGACACAGTTACTAAACCTGCTGTTTGATAGACTACTGAACCCATCCCCACACTACAATGCTGTTTTTATCACTCTGTACCAAAAAATAATACAGAGGCTAAACCATGACCTAAATGAATCAGAGAGACCTATCGAAGATAATTACCCAATATAAAGTGCTAATTTCTCTAGGTGATCCAGCAAAAGAGCAGCTCTCCTAAGAGGTATGTCAGAGCAGAAGGCACCTGCCTCACACAGACCCTCAGGGTATCACAACTTCCCCACGCAAGCACCAGGGCAGACAGGCAGCATTAAATGTAAATGAACCTTTGCACAACCTATGTAGAAGACGCTACTGTTGCAATGAAGGAAGAGCTAAGCCTTGTTTCTGCAGCCTGATTAACCCCTAGACCTATTGCTATAGTGTTAGACCTGACAGTTTCTTCAAAGCATCCTTTAGGATCCCTACATGCTGCTGGATAAGCTGAGCTCTCAGCCCCCTTCGAAAAGCCCTGAAGTGGGCATATGTCAAGGGTCCTAACTGCATGTGTACAAATAGACTATTTTTTATTTACCTAACAATCTTTCTAACTTTTCAGGGTGTGAAACAGCAATTCTATTCCCCATGCGTTCAAAAAAAATATTTGGAAGTGTTCACCCAACTGCTGGAATGACCCTTCGCTCCTTTACTGCTTGCATCTGGATCAAGGTGACTGAGGCTTTGAACAAAACTATCATCTTCTCATACGGAACCAAGTTAAACCCATACGAAATCCAACTTTATCTCAGCCAGGAGTCTGCAGTGCTCGTTGTCGGTGGTGACCAGCACAAGTTAGTTGTCAAAAACGTAGTTGTTCCTGGGAAATGGATCCATCTCTGTGCCACCTGGAGCTCAGAGAATGGATCTGCATCCCTGTGGCTGAACGGAGAGCTTACAGCCACTGCCTTGGACATTGCTGATGCTCATACCATTCCAAACGGAGGGATTTTTCAGATCGGTCAAGAAAAGAATGGCTGCTGTGTTGGAGGTGGATTTGATGAAGCTTTAGCTTTCTCTGGAAAATTAACTGGCTTTAACATGTGGGACAGAATGCTCAGTGCAAAAGAGATAGCAGCACAAAGCGGAGAAGATGCATGCAGTATGAGGGGCAACATTATCGGGTGGGGAGTCACAGAAGTTTTGCTATATGGAGGAGCCCAGTACATTTCTTAAATTCTGGCAAGGCAGTTTCTGAAGCAGGAAACGTATTTTATGAATAGTTGAACACCAGTCCATGCAAGTAAACATGTAGGAGCCCACATTGCTCCAATTCCCAAGGAAGATTAGCATTGCAAGTTTCTGAAAGGAGGTACTGTAGATACAGGATTTTATCTCTGCTTGCTGCTTCAGCAAAACACTGAAAAAACAGTACATCAAGGCATGACATTGGAAAAAGCTGTTCCCGAGCACAGATGACTGCTGTCTCTCTAGCACGGTGTTTTCTGATGTATAAAAGTGTCACTGTGGACATTTCGGAGCTGAATAGTGCCCCTGGCATACCTGCCAAGGCAAACCTATCTAGCTGACCAGCCTTCACAGAAGGATGAACTCCTTCCAAGCTCCTCCAGTCACTGAGGCTTATAGTACTAATGTGAATTGTACAGAAGAACCACATAAACCACAAAATGTGTTTATTAATCATTGTTAGCAATTTGTAGACTGTAAAAAATCTAGCTCATTGTTTAAAACAATATTTATGCCACGGGTTGACCTAACATATAAGAGTGATATACCCCACCTTAATCTGATGCCACATTTGGAGAAAAAGCAGCTGTATTATATTGTAAATTGACTTTTTGATAATTTTATTGAAATTATTTTTGTAAAGTTGTTCTGTAAATAAAGGTACTTTATTATACTAAAACTTTCCATTGTTCTTATGAACTGAAACTCTGAAACTAAGTAAGTACAAATTGGGAATTTTTCCATATTTTGTACCATGCAGTTTTAGCTGCCAATAGAAACATAAACATCTCATACAAAGGGAAAGACCTCTGGAGGACTGAAATCCAAGCATTAGCCAGAGACAGCTTTAAAGACCCTTCATGATAACAATCCCTCTTGTGAACGCTGCCATGTGCAAGGATCTGCCACTCTAGTTCTCCCATGTGGACATGGTCACTTGTACAGAAGAGATGCTTTGACATACTGGCATGTGTGCGTTGGAGGCTGAAGAAAGGATTGGTTTTGACCAAATAAAAAAAAGTCAGTCGATAACCTTTGCATAATGCTGGCCATCTGAGAAGGACATGCTCCGTTTTAATACCCAAAGTAACCAACTTGTTTGGTGCTAACAGGAAGTTTGTACAAGGCTGATTGATGAATATTTGGTGGCAGCAGGTTTCTTTTCTCACATTTACAAGCTTATTCAAAATCCAGTAAAAACATAGGGCTGGATACAGTGCTAAGAAGCAGATGCAGCGAGCCAAGATTTTGATGGTGATTTGTATGTAGAGAACAGAGCAGAAGTAGAAATGATGAACAGTTGTTCACTGGATATGTTATCATTTATGACAAGAAGAATTATTCACTACCTGTTGAAGCCTCTGAACAATTTATTGTTGAGAATGTCTTATTCAAAGCAATTCTCACTCCCACTGGAAGCAGCATACCTTTCTGCTGTATTCACGTTTCTCTTTCTCATTCTCTACAGATGTCCTAAGAATGCGCTTTGAAAAGTTTCTTGACATGTTGCTGCTACGCTTATTCCCAAATACGATGCAGCTACCAGATCCTTCTGCTACTATACAAAAGTAGTAAGAAAAAGCTATGAGAAGGTAATTTCCACTTTACTAAGCCATTCAAAGGGGCTGTCCTTCATACCTAAAGTTGTATGACCTGCTCCAAAGTTTTGGCAATGCTGTTTTTTTAAGATAACTGCTCCAATTGATGGAATTTCTCCTATTACCCTGTAATAAAAAATGTGTCTAAATTATAAATGCTTAGTATGACAAAAAATCCCTTACTAAGTTGTAGCTGTAGGCAACCTTAACTACAGAACAATGAAAGATTACCTTTGTTCATCTCATTTCAGTCAGAAAACAGATCTCCAGAGCTACAAAAGACACTTGATGTCCCAACACTTGTGTAAGTGCAAAGACACTCCCAAATCCTCTTTCCATACAGCGCCCTCCAGTAAATGAAAACAAATGTCCATGAAACAAAGCAGAAAAAGCAAAATCCTCAAAAAGATTACCAGAAGTCCTTCTTGGTTACTTTTCTTACTGTACTTCATACCTGAAATGCTCTTTCTTGGAAGTAACCTTTTCCTGTCTCTGTTCTGCTTTGGCAAATGACCAAATGCAAAGCCAGTCCTCTCATTCTCACTGGCTCAGCTGGAAAACTCTCTTCATCCCAACTGTTTTGCTATTCCTTTATCACTATTGTAGACTAGCAAAGCTTTCACACAGTCTACCCCCTCCTGCCCAGCACTACAAGTCATCTCCACTGGCATGCTTCTCTCTTTTTTTCCCAGACTAACTATATTTTAATTCATCAACAGTTACTTTGCCTGTTTGGGAAACCCTGTAAAATAGTATTTTGAGGGAGTTTGGGCTCCAAACATGAAAAAGCCACTGCAACCCTGCTCTTTCACTGCAAACATAGAAATGAAGGAGCAAGCACAAGACGTGCATGCCTGGGATATGCTACTGAGCCCAGTTTTGCTCTCTAACAAGCCTCTCCGAATGCAACATGCACATTCCTTGCCTAAACTCCTCTGGAAGGTTGAGCAGCAGTGGAAGTCTCAGATTACAGCAACAACTGCAGGGTAGGTTTGCTGCTATCCACTGGAATTGGGACTAAATCTGCCCGATCCCTTATGCTGATGGAAGGTGTCAGCACAGGGCCTGTCAGCATCGAGAGCATGCCATAGACGCTTGCATGTTTAGAAGCTGAGTTCACACTAACTGCAACAGAGTAGGTAAACACTCTTTCTAAAGAGCTCTTTTTTAGCTAATAAGATAAGAAACTAATTATTCAGCCAGACAGTTGCCCCAAGTAATCAAAAAAATCCAGTTAGCTCTCAAACACTCCCAGGCAGCAGGCCAAAGTCTACTATCAGTCTCACTGGTGCCATTAGGCTGAGCCATGTGTGTGCAGCACCAGAACAGGACTCTTTGTCTCCACGCTGCTTTCTAAATTCAGCTTTAGCAGCTTTATCCTCTTGCTATCCTTCTCCCTTCAGCAAACACTCAGTCTTTAAGCGCAACTCTTAGCCTGCTGCAAATCAAATTTTCATGCCTGAAGTATAAATTAATGTACAGTGCAATTAAACCACTATGCAAAACAAAGCAATTTGACTATTCATAGTGCCCTCTTCCAGTCAGGAATTTCCAAACCTGATGTCCACAGCAACATCTGCTGGTAGAATAACATTAATACACAAAACTGAGCAGGCACAGTCATGATAAAACCTTCAGTTGTGGGTAGGTATTACTTTCCCAAACCTATGACTATATCAAAAAACCTTTTACCCTATTAATAGCACTGAGTTAACAAGTGGTAACGCACAATGTTAACAGATAAATACTAACATCACGAGTCTTAAGAGTTATCCATGTGGCTTTGAAAATTGTTAGCAATATTCTGTTGTTGGACTCTACCTAATCAGTATTATCACATAGCTCATATATATTTATCATGTTTGTCACACATTTGTTCCTAAACAAAGCAGACAGAAACATGAAAACTCTTACCATAATGTCATAAGGACAAAATTACTTTCTAGCTTAGCTGTCCCTCCATAATACGCTTGATTATGGTGTTTTTTTTAATAAATACAGAATGCACACATTTAATTTGAGTGATTAACATGTTCACAGCAATGTTCTTGGAATAAAGAAAGAGCTGCTACCTGTACTTGAAGAAGTGATTTTACTATCACAGTAGTACTGTATTGTTACAAATACCATGAACTTTACTACTTCAAATACACTGGACTTCCTTTGTAGAGGTATGAATATTTTTGGCTTTCTAAACCACAAAAGTAAAGCATACAGAGCTTAGCAACAATATTCTTTGTAAAGGTAATAATGCAGGCAAAATTAAGCAGTACAATCCTTTTATATCTTACATCTGACTATTTTGCCACAGAATGGGATTAATTTCATTCCCATCTATATTTTGGGGTATCGTCAATGACACCAAAAGAAAGGATAAGAGCCTGACAACTAGTGTCTCACATCATGGCTTATAATTTGCTGTCCATTAGTATAGTATACTAAGAAGTACAGATGTGTTTTCTGCCCTATGGGTCATCCAATCTATAATGAAACTTCCATATTCAAGAAGGTTCAGTAAATTCACATATTCTCAAAAGGTCTCCTTTGATACAGTCTGGTTTCACATTGTCTTAGATGTTTGCAGATATGTCCATATGTCTGCCTTATACATGCCTCATAGACGTTTTTTTATGTAGCATGTTAAATTGTATATATGCCTAACTAAGCTAATGGTGGGTATGCTGCAGGACTAAAACTAAAAATCTCAGTGCGTTCATACCTCGAAGGACACTGTTGACAATGGTGTCTGTGTGATCAGCCAGCAGATCTGCTTTAGCGATTGCAGCCAAGGACAGATAACTTGACATGTTTCTGCACAATTCCTTATTGCCCCTCTGAAGAAATTTCACTGCCACTGGAACAGCTAAGGCCATTACTGGAGGTCGGTTGTAATTCTGTAAAAACATTGAAAAGCACTGAAAAATAAGGAGCTGTAAAAATTATTAAAATGAAGTTTCGTGCTGAACAGAGTAGAAAAACAAAAATCAAAACAACAAGGAAAACAAGAAAAGAAAAAGTCAAGAAAGGTTATGTTTTGGTAACACTACTGAAGGCATGTTCAAAAAAACAGCAAGTAAAGGAATTTAAAACTAATTCACCAGGAAATGCTAATGACGCACCTATTTTTGACTTCTGCAAGAGGAAGAGAAAATACAAAGTGCACTACTTAAGTGCTAATTGCTGTAGCGTTTCTAACAAGACATTTTGTGTTTGGTGCTTTCAGAGAAGACAGCAGAAGCTGTATCCATCATCCACACAGAGTAGGTAATTTTCATCCCAAAGCATAGCAAACACCTTGGAACAATCACTTGTGCTGGTGACTGGTAAATATTGCCCCCTGCAGTAGGAGAGGCATTGTTGCCTTTTGTTCCTGCGTTGCAGCATTCTGCCCCATGCCCATGTCCAGACCCAAGTGCAGGCTCAAGGCTCAGGGAAACAATTTCAAGCATGGGTAAATCTTCCTCAATGGAAGTCATAGCTTACCTTATCTAAACTGAAGTGTGCTACTACTCTGAG